CTCCTCCTCCTCCTCCTCCTCCTCCTCCTCCTCCTCCTCCTCCCCGCGCTGGCTGTTCTCGTCATCACTGGCGAGGCCGCCGACCGAACCGTGGCTGTCCTGCATCAACGTCGACGCCGTCCTCGGGGTGCGGAGGGTCGAAGCGCGGCGGCGCGCGAGCGAGGCCATGCCGCCCGCACGGGCGGCGGGGCAGCGGCCCGAGTGCCGGAAGAGGTCCCCATCGCTGCGGGCGCTCGTGAGGCTGGGCTTCACGTCCACCACCTCGAGGAAGCCCTCCTTGACGACCAGCTTGAGTGCCGCGGCCCCGCGCATCGTCACCGCCGGGGCGCCTCCCGCGCCGGACGTCTCCGAGGCTGCCCCGCGGAGCATTCCAGGGGCAGCTCTTGCAGTATGGGTCGCGCCTGGGCGCTCGAGAGGCTGGGCTTCACGTCCACCACCTCGAGGAAGCCGTTCTTAACGACCAGCTTGAGGCCAGAAAGGCTTGAGCCAGAAGTGCCCCGTCGTGAGCCAAAATGGCTACGGATTGGGCTCTCGTGGAGCGCTGTTGGGCCGTCTTGGGGCCCACTTGGACGTCTCTTGGGCCCTCTCGCCGCCCATTTTTCCCGTCGTTTGACGCGCGTTCGCGCTCCCCGACGGGTCCAACAGGCCGTGTACAAAAGCAGTGCTCCCCAGGGCCCCTGGGACCGCATCTCCCTCTGTTCCCTGCCTCCGACTACTTGAGATCTTCTAGTCTCAAGCTTCCCCTGGTGCGGACGACGACGACGTCGACGACGATGACAAGGGGGAGGAGCAAGAGGCGTATGTATAGTTCCATGTTAGGACCACCGTGTTGAATATGGTGGCGTGTTGGGAGCCTTTTGGTTCCATCCTGGTTTTTCTGGGGCCCTCTTCGGCTTTCCTTGGGCCGTCCCGGAAGTGTCGTGGGACAACTCGGCACTGTCGTCGCTATCGCGAGGTAAGTGTGTGGGATCTTTGGGCCGTGCTGTTTCTCTTGAGGATTTTCTCTTGGGACTCTCGTGTGGCTCGCTTGGAGATGGCCTGGGGCCAAACGTCGAAAGGCTGGGGAAGGGGAGAGTAGCCACCGTGCCTGGGCTCTGGGTCAGACACCTCTTGGATGCATGTTGGGGTCTCTTGGGAATCCTCTGGGGAGTGTATGGGAAACAGTTTTGAAGCCTCTTGGGCCTCTGTGGGGCCGTTTGGGGGCCTCTTCGAGATTATTTTGGGCGTCCTGAGGGCAATTTGGGGGCTGCTTGGGGGCCTGCTGGCAATCTCAGGGGGCCCCTTCGGGCGGAGAGCTCGAAATGTGAGTTCGAATCCTATTTTCAGGGCTGCCTGGGGCGCCTCGTGGACCGTGTTCTGCCTCTCTTGGGTAGCTTTGATGCCTCGTTGGGGGCCTGCTTGACACTCTTCTTTTCCGACGGAGACGCATCAGAGTGGCGCGCACGTGTCTGGTCGATTCCCGGGGTGCGGCAAGGCGGAATGAAATAAACGATCGCCTCCGCGGTGACCAGAAAGAAGCTGCACTGGCGGGATCTCGCGCCAGAGACGCGACCGCCTTGCGCGCACTTATTTGGTCGATTGCCCAAGAATGTGCACGCAAGGTGGAGCGACCAGCTCCTGAAAGTAAAGAGATGAATCTAACTCACTGGGCTGACCGCAGGCGGACGCCACCTGCAAGTCAGCGTGGCAGCCTGACACGCCTTGGCGCGAGTGACACACATATTGACGCGCCGAGCAATTCCCTTGCTGAACAATCGAACGCAAACAATGAAATCAGACTTCCAAAGGATGCAGAAGGCGCGCAAGGAACACAGAAGCTGCAGAACTCGTCAGAGCAAGGCGCAGGAGCTGCGTCAGAACAGGCTGCAGAGCTGCGTCAGAGCAAAACGCCCGACTGTCACACTGTCTTGGATTGAACCATGTAAACGCGCGCAGTCACGCCGGCGGGAGGAACACGCGCCGCCACGCAGGGGAGTGTCGAACAGCCGACAGCGGGTCCGTGGAAGGGACGGGCACCAGCTGCGACGGCCGAGCAGGTGGGCCATCTGACCCCACAGTCGAGCACAGCTCAAGTTACTCCACTTGCCAGCTCATTGCTGTGAGGAAGGACCACCCAGGTCTAGGGGTGGAGCCAGCGGTCAGGAGCCTGTGTGACACCCTTGGAGCGATCTTGGACGAGCAGTTCGGCCGTCTTGGACGCTGGGAACACCAAACATTGTAGATGGAACACGTTTTCCTGAGGGGGTGGAACGACTTCGGAGTCTGGGTTCCCTCTTCGGGGGCCTCATAGAGCCCTCTTGGGCTTTCTGGGGGGCCTGTGGGCCGTCTTGAAATCATCTTGAGCGATCTTCGAATGCTCTCGGAGCGCTCTCGGGTCGTCTCGGAAGCCTCTTGGGCTGTCTGGAAGCCATCATGGGTGTTCTTGGAGCGCTCCCGGGGGCCGAAAACGGGTCCCGGGGCACTGGCGGCCAAGTCCGGTTACCCAGGGGGTGGCCCCATTTGTCATTGTGTGCCAGGGTGTGCCTGGGGAACCAACAGTCTCACATTGTTTGAATATGCATTATATATACTATGCCGGCAAGCTGACCATCACGCAAGACGATAATGTGTGCATACTCTTGAATCCGAGGCAGCCAAAGGGAAGTGCCCAAGCAAATCCTGGCCTTGGCATCGAAATCCGATGCAGGAAAACTTGAAGATAAACCCCACGCCGCCAAGTGCAACTCAATTGATATGGTTCTCAGCGCTTGCAGCTGCGGAGAATTGAGACAATCACCTTCCGAATATTCTTCGGCTCTGACGTTTCCTTCACCATTGCGGCCTTCCTGCGCACCGCATGCGTATCCGTAGCATTTAAGTCATCGCCGGCAATATCCGTCATCAGATCGGGGCCTATTATGTGCACCTTCACATTAGAAAAATGAGCGGCGTAGCGACTATGCACAGAAATCGTGGACGTAGAATTGTACGCGTATCCTATTTTTGAAGCGCGTAGCCAATCTGCGAAGGCCAATGTAACGCGCCCTTTAGACTTGTGCTCCCGATACATGCCTTCAATCCAATCGTAGCATGGATGGTGAACAATCCCGATGGTTGTACAGACGTGGTTTAAATCACACGCGAGATGTGCGACGGCGGTGTCATTGATGTTGCCGAAACGCTCACTCGACACCACCACCTTTTATGATGTACCCTTGAGATGGTCAATAAACTGCAACCATTCTAAGCACATGTGTTTCTCAACGTAGTTGAATGGCTTGGGCGGGTAAGACACATGACACTCTGCAAAATTGCTGATTTGAGTGATGTGTCCAGATACGTGTCCGAAGTGTGCAGGGTCTTCCAACGTCCAGCCGTCACTTGTCAGAAAGGTATGCCGAGCTTTACGTTGTTCCTGGATTGTTGTCGAAGCAGTCTCGTGGGGGCTCACATGAAACCATAGTCTTGCATCCTTTTCCGTTGATGCACCCATTGTCCATTGTTCCATCCGCACATAACCCAGAATCACAAGACAGCTCGCCACTTGGGCCCCACCGCCAGCCCAAACGGCGAGCACAAATCAGGCGTAGCCCCGCACGTATTCGAATGCCCACTGTTCGTCCCTGTACTACTCGAATTGCTCCCCGTCCTCCTCCCCATCCTGATCGTCGTCGTCGTCCTTCTCCTCGTCCTCATCCTCGTCCTCCTCGTCTTCCTCGTCTTCCTCCTGCTCCAGCTTCTCCTTGTCCTCGTTTAGTACCGACCTCGTCCTCGTTTCTCCTGTTCCTCCTTTTCCTGCTCATACTCCTTCTCCTGGCACCTCGATCCTCGACGCCCTCGCTGGCCCGCTTGCGGCTCAAGAGAGCGGCTCAACGCCATAGGTTGCGCCATAGGTTGCGCCCTCGGCGGCCGAAACTAAAACCGTATCCTATCGGTTGCGCCATGGGTTGCGCCCTCGGCGGCCGTGAATTTCCCCCGCAGCCTATGAGCGCGCAGCACGCCCGTCCAGCTTCTGCGCCGCGCTCGCGCGGCGCAGCACTCGAGGGCCCTCGGAGGCAAGGGCCCCCGCTCTATCCTCCGCGGTCGCTCAGGAGGCGCCGCACTGCACCGATAGCACCCGCTCTCGGGAAAAGACTTACAGCTCTACGGCAGGTGAGGTCGACAAAGGCGCCCTCCGCCTCCAGCCACACCAAGACAGGGAGAGCACGCTCAGGAGGACCACCGCCATCGGCTCCCGAAGAGCCCGAGCCGCTTGCCGAAAACAGAGCAGCTGGCGGCGGCACGCGCTCCACAATGATGGAGCAGCATCCGAACCACCTCTCGGCGACCACCATACGCGCCAGCCACCAAGCCGCCGCCTTGCAGCCAGTGGAGGACGGGATGTACAGAGCCGGCGAGTCGCACCAGGCCCCGTGGATGCAATCCCGCGTCGACGCCGAAGACGGCGTCGAAGTCATTGGTGTGGCGCATACCCCTGAGGAGCCTGGGCCGCCAGCGTCCCCGCGGCAGCCACGGCGCTGGCATTCCCCTCCACTGAGACTGACGATCGGCGGCAGCGCAGCATCGGATATGCCCGAGAACACCATGGCGCCGCAGGTGCACCTCGGGAACGGAGGGCACCCATCGGGCAACGCGAAGCACTCCTTCAGCGGGTAGTGATAGGCCTCCTCGGCACACAAACTCGACTTCTGGGCTAAGGGCACGAACTCGGGCGCATCAACTCGCAGTACCGAAGGCGCGGCAGCGGAAGAGGGGCAACCCGAAGCATGAGACAAGCCGTTGTCCAGAGCACCGACGGCCGAAAGCACCTCCCCATCAGCATTGGCCTGACCAGTAGGGATGCTCCCGTCGGCTCCGAACGCACGGCTGGCGAAGGCCGCGATCCCACCGCTGGGCTGAGGCGAGTCCCTGAGGAAGGCCCGGACGCTCCGGCCGCCGCCCAGGGCACCCTCGCCCTCAGAGCGATTGCACTCGACCCTCGCCTGCGTCGCCAGAAGCGGTAGACGATCATCATGCACCACTTCCCAACGCCCAGCATCGGGAAGGACATCAGGAGCAAGAGCAGTTGGTGGGCCTCCAGACCCGAGGCGCGGGCCGCGCGCGGCTGCTCGCCACTGCGCCAACCCCGCCCCCTCCGCAGGGAGGTCCCTCGCATGCTGAGAGCAGTTCCTGATGAGCACCTCGCCAGGAGCCGACTTGGTGCCGAGGACACGCGAGGCCAGCACCCCACGCGACGGCCGCTCGCGCCTGGCCGCGTCCTCCGCCAGGACCGCGAGCGCAGCGCCGCGGCAGGGTGGGTCTCCTCGGCCGTGCAGGGCTCTCCAGAGCCCCCGCTCGCAGGCATCGCGGGCTCGGCGCCTCGCCAGCCTGCGATCTCTCGAAGTACGCCACGGGCAGCTTTCTTCCGCCGCCCCCGAGCCATCATGCGGAACGCGCGGAGCGAAGGGCGCCCAGCTGGCTTTCGCCAAAGGGCCACCCTTGAGCCGACCGACGCGCGCCAGGCATTGAGCCAAAATGGCTACGGAATCGGCGGCCGTGAATAGATCCGTCTCCTATCGGTTGCGCCATAGGTTGCGCCCTCGGTGACCGAGAATAAAGCCGTTCCCTATCGGTTTCGCCATAGGTTGCACCCTCGGCGGCCGAGAATAAAACTGTTCCCTATCGGTTGCGCAATGGGTTGCGCCCTCGGCGCCCGTGAATACAACCGTCGCGTAACGGGTGCGCCATAGGTTGCGAACGTGGCGGCCGAGAATGAAAACGTCCCCTATCGGTTGCGCCATAGGTTGCGCCCTCGGCGGCCGAGAATGAACACGTCTCCGATCGGTTGCGCCATAGGTTGCGCCATCGGCGGCCGAGAATAAATCAGTCTCCTATCGTTTGCGCCATAGGTTGCGCCTGTGGCGGCCGAGAAAAAAGCCGTCGCGAAACGGGTGCGACCAGTCAGTTCAGTTCAGTTCAGTTCAGTTCAGTTCAGTCCAGTTTACTTCGCGAAAAGCAAATTCGGGCTACGCCCGACAACACTAACGCGGCGGATAATTCCATGGCCTCTTGCGGAAAGCTGGCACGAGCCCTCGAGCCAAAAAGGCGTTGTTGCATGACTGTGACGTTCTTGGCTGTCCGGCTTCCAGACCGTCTCATACGGCCCACAGGGCCCCCAAAATCGCCCCAAGGCGGCCCGCTAACCCCCAAGGTGGGCCTCAGAGGCCCCCGAAGGAGGCTCTAGGGTCCCCCAAGACGGCCCAAGACGACTCCAAGATCGCCCTAGATGATGCCCCCAAGACGCCCCGAGAAAGCTCCAAGAAGACCCTCGGGAGGCCAAGCTCATTGATTCCCCACAAGTTGTCCATTGGTTTTCGCGTTCTCGCCTTTTCGGGTATCCGAGAGCCGAAGACGGCGCCAGAGGCCTCCAATATAGGCCCCAGACGGACCCACGAGGGCCCAAAGACTGCCCCACAGACCACAGACTTCCAAGACGGCCCTGGGGCGCCCAAAGTGGGCCCAACGACTGCCCAGAGAGGCTCCCAAGATGGCCTCCAAAGGCCAATAATTGGCTCAGAGGCCTCCGCCAAGAGGCCCCAGGATGCCCTCAAGAAGCCCATCGGAGACCTCCAAGCAGCTCCCCAGCAGCACTCAGGAGGCCCCAAGAGGGCCTCAACAGACCTCCTATTCCGGCCCCTCTTACCCCTTACCTTCATTGACGGCCAGATCCTCTGTCAGGGAGGCCGCTGTGGCTTTGCCACCAACTAAAATTGCCCGAACGGGTTGGCGTCTGGCTGGCCCCACTCTGCACCCGTCCGCCTCCTCCTCCTCCAACTCCTCCTCCTCCTCCTCCTCCTCCTCCTCTTCCTCCTGTTCCTCTTCCTGCTGAGGCACTGAGGCATGGATGGTCTTAGAGCATCGCCTCCTCCTCCTCCTCCGCCTCCTCCTCCTCTCCCTCCTCCTCCCCCCCGCCTCCTCCTTCTCCTCATACCACGTCCTGTCCCAAGGTGTCCCTCCCCCAGGACTTCCACGACGACTGGGGAGGCAGAGGACTACAGTTCATTCACTAGCTTGGCCGTGCTCTGGCCCCGTGCTTGGCAGCATCGGCACCTCCAGACAGGCAGGGGGGCGGCGGCGGCGACTCGCCGGCGAACGCCTGCGGCCTTCCGCCCCCCTGGCCTGCGGAGGCATGCCGGCGTGCCACGTGGAGCGCTTGATGTGCTTCGCGGCAGCGGCCGTTACTGGCCCCACCGGCCCCGGGGGCGTCCAAGGAGGGGGGCGTCCAAGAGGGGTGGGGGGGGGGGGGGCGCGAAAAACATCATGGCCCGCGGCGCGCGCGCGGCCCAGGGGTGGGCCAGGGACGTGTTGAGACAAGGAGAGGCACCGTGCAATCGTGGGAGACATCATGGTACCCGCCATGATCCCCCCCACACTCATCACCCCCCTTTGGGCCACCCCCGCCGTCCTTCTAGAGTAACGTCACGATTCGAGCTCACCTCCGGGTTGTCTTTGGTGACTCCTGGACATTTCCAGACGGCGCCGGCGCGAAACGTGACGTTGCTGCACGTCCACTCCTCCCCAACACCTGTTATGGCCCAGGAAGGAGCACGCTCTCTTGCAGGATCTTCCAATGTTTACGATGGGCTTCGGCGAAAACCTGCCAAAGGTACATCCCGTGGGCCTTCACGTCCAAGACAACTCCAAGCTGGCCTCCAAGGCGGTCCCACGACGTCTCCATGACAGCCAGCATGGCCCCGAGAGGGCTCAAGATAGCCCCGAGGATGCCCCCATGGTCCAAGAGGTTCGATTCGTGTCTCTCGGGCCGTCTTCGGGGACCGCGGGGCCAGCCCAATGGCCCGAATCATTAAGTTGCGTAACGCACAAAAGATGTTAGTATTACCGCCTCTTCGGTCTAGGAAGCGTCCAAGACGGGCCAAAGCCACAAAACCACCCCAACAAGGTCAACATAGGACCGAACCCAACCCCAAGATGACCCAAAGGGGTCCCAAGATTTCCCTAACTGGCTCTAAAAGGTCCCCAAGACGGCCCAAAGAGGCCCCCCAGACGGCTTCCGAAGGCGCCAGGCGACCAAATCGCGCCCCAAGGCGGCCCCAGAGAGGCTCAAGATAGCCCAAGAAAGCCCAGCTCGCCCCAAAGAAGGCCGCAGAGGCGAGACAATGCCCCAAACGCAGCCCCAAGACGGTCGCAGAGGGGCCCTCCCAGTCGTCTCCGCCAGCGGTCTGGGGCAACACGCAGTGCTCTGGCGTGGCCGCACGTTCGCTTGACATTTCACGGCACAGGCGCTTCCCAAAAAACAGGGGGCGGAGGTGACTTGCTGTAGATGTCTTCGAGGCAGCAACGCAGCGTACCGACGCCAGCAGTTTACACAGGGTGCCAGAAAGTGCAATGACGTGCAGCACTCATGCTCATGCATTCACGCTATCGCTGCTTGAATGACAACGGGCCGATTGTTTGAAGAAGCGATCCTTATCCCAGCCCGCCACCATGGTGCCGCAAGACAGGCCCCGGCCGCGGTAGTTGAAGAAGATGTTGCACAGGAGCTTGGATGCAGCCGCCACAGAGATGCGCTCCTGCTGGTGCAGCTGGCAGGGCCACGCAAACTGCCACCCCCTCTCTCCCACATCCCATGCCCACTCCTCCTTCCTCTTCATTCCCTCCTCATCCCTCCACCTCCTCATCCTCCTGATCTTCCTCCTCCTACTCCACTCCTCTTTCTGCTACTCTTCCTCCTCATATTCCTTCCCTGGAGCACCCTCACAACTCTCTAAGAAGCCCCATTGACCCAAATGAAACTCCAGAGCGCCCTGAAAGTCCTCCACCGTACCGCCTCATTCCCTGTCCTCCTGCTCCTGCTCTGCTGCTCCTCCTTTTCCTCCTCCTCCTCCTCCTCCTCCTCGTGCCTCCTCTTTCTCCTCGTTCAGCTCAGCTGCTCGCCATCTGATCGTTATTGGTGCTGCTCGGCCGTGTCCTGTGCTGTGATGTGCTGTGCTGTGCTCTGGTCTGCTCTGCTCTACACTGCTCCTCCTCCTCCCTACTCCATCCACCATGCCTCCATCCACCTCCATCCTCCGCCGTCCCCACGTCCTCCTCCTCCTCCTGGTCATCTTGCTCCACATCCTCATCGTCGTCGTCGTACTCCTCCTCCTTCATCGCACCCTCCTCCTCCTCCTCCTTCTCCTCCACCTCCTCCCCCCTCGCATCCGCTATTTTTCCATCCTCCACCTCCTCCCCTTCCTCCTCCTCTCCTCCTCCTCCTCCTCCTCTCCTCCTCCGCCTCCGCCTCCTCCTCCTCCTCCTCCTCCTCCTCCTCCCCTTCCTCCCCAGAGTAATCTGGAAGTCGCCAGAGCCCGCCCCCAAGAGGCCCCAGAAAAGGGCAACATAAAAGTACCCGAACACTTCGGCCATCGATCCTCAAAGCTCGGTCGTCTTCATCCTCCTTCTCCTCCTCCTTCTTCCCTTGTCCCTCTCCTAATCGTCCTCCTTCTTCTCCTCTTCTTGCTGCTCCAGCTCCTCCGTCCGTTTCCCCCTCCTCCTCCTCCTCCTCCTCCTCCTCCTCGTCCTCCTCCTCCTCCTTGTTCCCTCTCCCCTCGCGCACTGGTGGCCCAAGCCATCGTATCCGGTGGGGCTCGAACTAGCCATGGGCCACCAAGCTCATTGCCTTCACGTGGCGCTTGGGAGTCTTACACCACATAACCATCCATAAAATATGTACTTACGTCTGACGTTATTGCTGCGGGATGGCTAGAACAGACGAGTTCATCATTCAACTCGTGGTTAGTGGTTGGGCAGTCTGGTGCACGTTTGATTGCCGTTCGTTTGTATTCCATTTCTTGAAGTTCAATGTGTTCTGTTATATCTACACGTTGTATGGTGATAGCAATTGGGTGGGACCAAACCTTTCCAAGGAGCGTTCAGCACACTCCGTCCCAGGCGGCGGGTTGGGCAGGTGGCACGCAGGATGCAATGGCCAACTGAACTCACCTCCACGTCGATTGGGCCCGCGTGGATTTTCGGATGTCTGAAGTGTAGTGCTCGGGATGGTGGTGCGCGCATGCCGTTTTGCTGTGTGAGCTTAACTCGGCGGTGGTATTGAGATAGTGCGGCCATCCACCTCGGCAGGCGGCGGGTCATTGCCATCTCATTACGTAGCTCTGTTGTGCACCATCAACTTATCAACATGTTTCATCGCGTTGGTTCTTACCAACTGGGGTCGAAGACGAGGAACAGTATACTATTCATGACATACAATGCGGTGAAACGTCTCCCCCCAGTTCTATCAGCATCCAAGTGGCCGAGCCGTGATACAATGTATCATGTTCTTTGTTACTTGGCGGAGGTTGCACCCATAGCATTCAGATGCGATGGGGGGCTATGGTTTTCCGCAAGTGGTGGCATGCGGTACTCGTGAAGCTGTACTCTGGGTTCGCGCGCCTTGTGCTCCTTGTCGTCCCGTGCATCTTCAAAGCCAGGGGGCGTGCTTGTTTTCGGTACCGCTACACGGTGGCCGAGCCTCTCCACCCTGTCTCCATCCTCCCCCATCCTGTGCCGTCCCCGTCTGCTCTGCCTCCACCTCCTCGTGTTCCCTCATTCTGTCGTCGTCTCGCCTTTGGGCGGGCGCCCTGGGAAGGCGAACCGTTTTCAACATGCTGCCCCGGCCCGAGTGCAGCCGGCGTTTCAATGTTTCCTACTGCTACGGGGATGGAAGGCATGTCGTGTTCAGAATGTGGCTATCTGGGTGCCGCGCAGATGTACCAACCAATCCTGTACAGCTGTTGCGTGGAGGATTAAAAGTAGCGACGCGCATTCGTCCTCAAAGCCCCCAACCTTTACACGGATGGAGGGCGGCCCGCTTCTCTTATTACGAAGGACGGGCGATTGTTTTCAAGATAGGGCACGTGGGACTTTCTCCAAAAATACGCTCCGAAGCATGACCATACAGCAGCTACACGGTTGGAGGGGCCCTGTTGAACATGCGGCCCTCGCTGGATACTACCCCCTGTATCTCTAGGATCCTACCACATCACCCCTCCTAGAGCTAGGTTTAGGTCGGGCATGTCCTCCTACAAGCGCAAATCAAACATCGTAGCAATAGTATGTATATATACATATATATATATATACAAAGACGTGTAACAAATATTTGAAACATCGCCCCCATACTATTTTTCACTGTTTTTGCCTACTCCTTCTGTAGAGGGACGTGCCCGACTTAAAGCTAGAAGGATGGAGGGCGGCTGCTCTTCGAGGCCTGGCTCTCGCTCGGATGGCAGGCCCATCGGGCACAGGTCTTCCAAAAAGGGCGCCGCCCTTGCAACGAAAACGTATCTTAAGGATGGATGGTGCGGTTAAGTCGGGCCTGTCCCCCTGCAGGGGGATTTTTGGGCGAAAAAGGAAACTACTCGAACAATGCCCCCCAAGTATTCAAACATAGTGAACAAATCGTCCCCAGACTATTTTTTAAACCATTTTTGAACTGTCCCCCTGTAGAGGGACACGTCCGACTTCATGGTACGGACGCAAGGCCCTTGGAGGCCGAAGTTGGGATCCTTGGGCGACGGGCGACCAGTGAGAACGGCAAAGGACGGGCCGCAGCGGCGAGGACGCAAGGGTACCCTAGAAAGGACGCGCGTCCTTACCCTGCGCGTTGGCTGCAGTAAAGGGGAGGTTCGCTGGCCCAGCGGGCCAAAGGCGTGCCGGAATCTCTGAACGAGGCTCCGAGCCGTTGTGAATTCTGCTTCGCGCGCGCGTGGCGGACCCCGGGGGTCGCGAGGGGGGAAATCACAAGAGCGGCCCAGCAGCGGGGATCCATGGGTACGATGCCCCAGGTTGGCTCCAAAACGACCTCGGGAGGCCCCAAGATGGCCCCAAGGTGGACCAAGGTGGTCCAACACAGCCCCCAAGATGCACCTGACGCGACTTCTCGGCCACAAGGGGATCAACCGTGCGTCCGTCTGACCGACCCCTGGCCCACGAACCTCACGAGGGTGGGGGCGAAGAGGAGAGAGAGAGGAGGGAAGGACGGGGAGAAAGGAGGTGGAGGAGGGGGACACAACGTGGCATTCGCCTTGCCAAACTCCCAGAACGCCACAGCCCAGACGCCTGAATCCAAAAACTCCTGACTGGCTGAGACACGCTAGCGTTTCCAGAAACCCACCATCCGAACATAGTGTCACCTCCTGGAGGGTCACTTTTACTTCAAGCCAACTTCGGCTGGCCTTCCGCTGGCGAAGGTCGCCTCGTTCCACTTCCACCGCCTTCGTAGAGGAACAAAGAGCGGCATACACATAAACTGCTGGGAGGTCCGCGCGGACTTCTCGGATCCGCGCTGGGCATGGGCAGCGCCGGAGGCGCCGCCAGGGTGGGCCCAGCGCCGATCCCAGACCTCCGCGCGGAGCTCCGAGAAACCTGGCAGAGCCGCGAGCCCCGACCTCAGAGCACGCGCGGGCGCACGTGAAACGGGGAAGGAAGGTGGAGACGGGAATGATGGTCCTGCCTTCCACCACCACCACCATAAGTTGGACGAGGGGGAGGAGGAGGAGGACGAAGAGGAGGAGGAGGAGGGGGGGGAGGAGGGCCCCCTCCCCCCCTGCAACTTGTGGTGGTGGTGGTGGAAAACGGGCCCGTCGGGGCAAGAGCGCGGAGAGCGAGGGACCTCCCCGACGGGAGGGACCCTTCGCCAGAGGGACTTTTTCTGCTGCGGGCGCACGGCGGTCCCCAGATGGACCGGGCGCGATGCGACAGCGGCGGCCTGCGCGCTCGGGCTTGGCCTCCCCGCGCCCCCCCTCCCGCAAAAAAGAAGTCGCTCGGGCCACGGCGAGGTGGGAAAGTGCGTGAAGAATCGGGGATGCATAAGACTCGGGTACGGCGGACTCGGGCTGGCCTGACGCGGCCATCATGAACATGGCGCGACCCAGTCTGAAATCTGACGCGAGCTCCCACTGCAGATACATCTCACGACAACTGGTGCGACAGAAGTCAGGACGCGCTCGTCAAAAAGCGGCGGGAAACCCGAGTCCCAGTGTACTCGAGTCCCACGTGTCCCTGAAAGGAGGAAGGACATGGGAGGAGAGTCCAAAAATCCGCGCGGAGCCTCCGAAAGTCGTTGCTCATGCTGTGCCTTCTTTCTCGACCTCTGCCCACCCTTCGCCTCTCGCCCGCCAGGGGAAGGAAGCAGTGGCAGCTCCCCCGATCCCTCGAGGACGAGGCCTCATCGTCTTGTCTCTCCTGCGCAGACACTCCACGTGCAGCTGACCCCCATTCGAGTAGGGGATGGACTACAGAATTGATTTACCCCCAAATTGATTTCCCGTCGAATAGTTCAACGCGTGCGCAAAAGGCTCTACGGAGCATGCTATGCATTTTTCGCAGACTCGACGAGCAAATCAATTTTGGGGTACATCGATTCTGCAGTCGATCCCCTACTCGATCCATGACCCACTCGGAAACAACAAACCTTCTTCGCCCCTTCTCCGTGAGCTTGCGATGCGCTGGTGGCGGACGTCGGCGCCATGGCCTCTGTTTGCTCGAGCCGCTCGGGGACAGGGCCTCTTCTGGAGCGCCCCGCGCGGCGGGTTAAGCCTAGAGCAGGGACCTACCGTTCTGGCATTCCTACAGTCCTACCACCACGATGTTCTTCGAACCCGGCAAAACTGTTCTAGGAACAAAAGCAGTGTTCTCAGAATAGAAACCCGATGCGTTAAAACAAAACATTCTCAGACAGAAATGTTCTAAGGACATGCGTGCAGAACACAACATGTTCTCAGAACACTCTCTGGTGGGCCTATAGGCGAGCCAGGACGCTCTGCCACTGCTTGATAAGCCCGCCCGCTCCCCGGAAGTTTCGACCCTTTCCCCAGGGCTGGGCTGTTTTGGATGACCCAAAATGGGGTCCAGCTGAAAGGGGGTGGTGCAATAGAGTTGGGGCAACTGTATTGCAAACGTATTGCGCCAGAGAATTGTATTGCACTGTATTGCAAGTAATGCGTTGCACACGAAAGCCCAGCAATACATTTGCGCCCCGGAAGGTATTGCACGCCCCAGATGTATTGCAACCCCACAAATCTATTGCACCAAATCTATTGCACCACCCCCTCCCGAACATGCGACGTCCTGATTTTGTTCAGGACGGCGTCCCTGGAAGCCCCGACCCTTTCACCGTGACCAGCCTTTCGTCCTGGGTCGTTTTTTGAAGGTCCCGATGCCTGGCGAGGGCCTCCCGGGGCCGAAAATGGCCAAAAACCTCCCGCCCTGATGCTGTTACGACGCGATCATGTCCGGGCTTGTCGCTGGACCCCCTTTTGGGTCCACCCGAGTTGTCGTCCGGAGCCGTTCTTCGACTGCCCCGGGGCCCGGGCGAGGGCCCCTGGAGGACGAACGCTGCCAAAGACAGCCCGCCGTGCTGTGGGAGCCGGCGCCGCCCTCTACCCCCTCGAGGGCGAGGCCTCCTCTGGAGCGCCCTGCGTGGACCTTGAGATCCGACGTTGCAGAACTTTTTGGTCTGCGGGTCGAGAGCGGGCCTCTTCCGGTTAAGAGCTAGGCGGGGCGCGCAAAGCACTAATTGGGGAGACAGGGCGCGGGCGGGCGGGGCCTCAGGCGGCCGGAGGGCGCGGGGTGCAGGCGGTGCCGAAAAGCTTGCACAGGTACGCCTTGGACAGGAGCCGGAGGCGAAGTCCAAACCGACGTTGCAAAACACGGGGGGGCATTTGTTTGGGACCTCGCGGGCGCAAGCGCCCCTGTTTGCATCAGTCATGCACGGCGCGGGCGGGGCCCCCAGGAGCGAGCACCTCAAAGCAGGCTGTGCTCGCATCCTTCGATGAGGAATCCAGGGCCTGGAAGTCAGTGGGAAGCCAATCGTGGATTGGCCACGGATAGCACCGCCGCACCCATCAGATACAGGAATCCTCCAGGATCTGCAGCCGTCCTGGGCACATTCCTCAACGAACGCCCCCACCGAAATTGCAACGTCGCAAAACATCACGACCGGGCCCCCGGACCCCATCTTTCTGCGTCATTTCTCGAGCCGGATCGATGTGTGAGGGTCCCATCAGGGCCCGAGCTGGGGCGAAAACGCCTGGCTCGAAGACAGTGGGCCGCCAGGATCTCAGGGGAGGCCTCGGTCCCGTGCGCCACCATGAGGCCCGCCCCGCTCGTCCTTGTGGCGGAGCTCGTACATGCGGCACATCTGCGCGAGGTGGCGCTCCCAGTACGAGCAGTCCGCAGCCCCGCCCGCCATGGTGCCGAGCCTCGGGGTGCCCTCCCCGCCCCCAGGGGCTCTAAGCTCGCCCGCGGCCCTGAGGCGGGTCCGGGCCCGGAAGCGGCCCTGCACCCTGCGGTCCGGGCGCTGCAAGTTTCCCCTCCGGGCACCGTCGCCAAACTAGTCGGGCCCCGGGGCAATCACAGATCGATCCGGCTCGAGAGTGGCGCAGAAAGATGGGGCTGGGGGCTCTGGTCGTGATGTCTCACGATGTGGCATCTTTTCGCGATACAGAATCTCAGAGCATCCCAATTGGAGGAGGAGGAGGAGGAGGAGGAGGAGGACGGGGAAAGAGGGAACGAGGAGGAGTGAGGGGGGAGGGAGCGAGGAAGAAGAGAACGAGGAAGAAAGGAGAAGATGAGGATGATGAAGATGATTCAGATGATGATGATGATGATGATGATGATGATGATGATGATGATGATGATGATGGTGGTGGTGGTGGTGATGATGATGATGATGATGATGATGATGATGATGAATCTTATTATGATGATGCTGCTGATGATGATACTTACGATGCTGATGCTGATGGTGATGATGATGCTGATGCTGGTGCTGCTGATGCTGATGACGATGATGATCAGGAGGAAGGGGAGGAGGAGGAGGAGGTGGAGGAGGAGGGGATGAGGATGATGAGGATGCTGATGATGATGATTATGCTGATAATGATCATGATGCTTCTGATGATGATAAGGATGATGATGCGAATGATGATTATATTGATGATGATAATGATGACGATTATGATGATGATCAGGAGGATGAGGCGGAGGCGGGGATGAGGATAATGATGAGGATGATGATGACGATGATGATGTTGCTATGCTGATGGCTTTGTTGATGATGAAGATGACGATGCGTATGCTGATGTTGATGATGATGATGACGATGATGATGATGATGATGATGATGATTTGCTGATTATGCTGATTATGACAAGGATGACGATGATGATGATCAGGAGGATGAGGATGAGGGGATGAGGATACTGATGATGATGATGACGATGCTGATGATGCTGGTGATTATTTTGATGGTTATGTTGATGATGACAAAGATGACAATGATTGTGCTGATGCCGATGCTGCTGACTGCGATGACGATGATGATGATGCTGATGATGATGATGATGATGATGATGACGATGAGTATGATGATTATGCTGATGATGTGTCTGACTATGTTGATTAGTATGGTGATGGTGATGTTGCTGCGGACGAGGATGACGATGATGGTGATGACGATGATGCTGATGATGATAATGGTGGATGATGATGATGTTTATGATGATTGTGATGATATCAGGAGGAGGAGGAAGAGGAGGAGGAGGAGGAGGAGGAGGAGGAGGAGGAGAAGGAGGGAGAGGGGGGAGGATGAGAAGGAGAAGGGGGAGGAGGAGGAGGAGGAGAAGGATGGGGGGGAAGGAGGAGGAGGAGGAAGAGGAGAAGATGAGGAGGAGAGGAGGAGAAGGATGGAGGAGGAGAGGAAGGAGGAGGAGGAGAGAGGAGGAGGAAGGAGGAGGAGGGACTGGAGGAGGAGGAGGAGAGGAGGCGGAGGAGGAGGAGGAGGAGGAGGAGGAGGACGAGGTGGAGGAAGGAGGAACTGGAGGAGGAAGAAGAAGAGGAGGGGGAGAAGGAGGGAGGAGGGCGGGGGAGGAGGAGGGGGAGGAGGAGGGGGAGGAGGGGAGAGGAGGTGGAGGAGGGAACAGGAGGTGAGAGGAGAGAAGAAGAGAGAAGAGGAGGGAAGAGGAGGGAAGAGGAGGGAGGAGGGAGGAGGGGAGGGGGAGGAAGACGAGGGAAGAGAGGGTGAGAGAGAGGAGGGGAGAGGAGGGATGAGGAGGGAGGGGGAGGAGGGAGGTTGAGGGGGCCGTGGACCCATAGCGGGCCCACACGGGCCTCCGCGGAAACCCCGAGGTGGCCCTCGCCTGCCCCATCGGGGGGCGAGTGCCATGCGCGGGTCCCACAACCAGGGCGCCACACCTGCTTCCCTCGGGGGCTCCCCCTTGGAGTGCCCAGTTACTATGCCTGCTGCGTCGGGATGGTCTTGGGACTCTGAAGGGAGGAGGAGGAGGAGGAGGAGGAGGAAGAGGAGGAGGATGAGGAGGAGAAGGTCGGGGGCGCGCAAACATGGACTAACGATCCATGGATTTGGCGCGCGGTCGCCAAATCCATGGATCGGGGAAGGTGCCCTCCCCAGAATGCGGCCAGGGCCGCTCCGTTCGGCGGCGGAGATCCGCGATCTCCCATGGAAACGGGACCCGTCGCGCAATCCACGCCCCCTTTATCCATGTTTGCTATCGCCTGATGATGCCCCTCTACTCTCATTCCGCTTACCTCGCACGCCGCTGCACCTTACTGGAAGCTGGAACTTTTGCGCCACAGCATGCTCCGACGTCACTTCCAGAGCGATCCCATCAGATTATGATTCTCACCCGGTCCCCAGTGCACGCGCAGATGTGGCACCACCACACAGCCTATTGTAGCCATCCTCTCGTTCGCTTGTCGCATTGGCCACCGGCTGCCACACCACACGCTGCCTGCACGGAGGAAACCTCATCTTGCACTCCGCCCAGTCCTCACGCGTGGATGCGTACGGACGGGATGGGTGATTCCCCACTCCAGGTGCAGCACGCCGAAATGGGCTCCCCCACGCCCTCTGGGTGGGGTCCGTTCTCGCGCCTTCTCCCCACGAGCATTGCCGCGCCAGTCCACCGTCTCTTGTCATCTGCCCCGACGGGCCCGTCGCACCGCCCCATCGCCGCAGGGACTCATCCTGCCTGCAGGAGTCCTCTCCTCGTGTTGCTCTTCTTTACAAATCGTTGGCTAGATAAAACCCCAGCGGCAACGGCCGCTGGGGAAGGGGGGGAGGCTTTCTTGAGATACAGATGCCACACGGCGACAGGCAAGAGGAAGGAACAGGAGGAGGAGGAAGAGGAGGAGGACCACCCCCACCTGCGCAACTGTTGGCAAGATCCCACTCCTGGCCATGAGCACCGAGCCAGTCACGAGCGAGAACCCCATGTAGAGAAAGGGAACCGCCCGCAATCCGTGCGGCCGCAACATCTCTTGAAGGTTCTGGCCTGTTGGCTTTTAAGATCAGGGCTGGACCTAAACGTTGTTGTCCGTGCTGTTGTCGTTGTGTTGTTCGTTTTGCTGGACCTGTTTTCCTGCACCTCCCTCCCAAAACTAAGCACAAGACACAGCCGAATTCCAGGACAACCGCGATGAGGTCCTGCCCTGTTGGGAACGAACCACCCTTTCACCCGTGCAGCTGTTACACCTGTTCAAGCTTCTGCCCGTTGCTCTAAAGCAAATCTCGGGCAGAGGCTCCGCTTCGAAGAGGAACCGCCCGCCATCCCTGCAAGTGCTGGATCTCGTAATTCGGACGTACGTGCGCGGCGCTGAGCCGAGAGCGCGTTGAAACATCATTGGAGCTGTTGCAATGCTTCTTGAGACTGGCCCAGAGTTGTAGAGCGAAGGTGCGCGGCGCGAAGGCAAGAGCCACGTTCTGAAAACGGCCCACGCTTGATCCTGAAAGCTGTGGCAAACTTTGAGGGCCGCGTGTGCGCGGCGAAGAGGCGAGCGCCCCATGTTGAGATCGGCCCGCCCTCCATGCTTGACGCTGTCCCATGTCAAGTTTCAAGATCGTAAGTGGTGAGGAAGTCTCGGGTGAAACGCCTGGCCGATCTACCGACACGTCTGTGGGTGCGACAGGGAGGAGCGCTTCACAAGGAGAAGGGTTGGAGGAGGAAGGAGAAGGAAGAAGGCGGTAGAGGAAGAGCAGGGTCGAGAAGTTTGGGATGCACTGACACTTGTGCCTACGGTGGCCTCCAGCAGCCAGGGGCCCCTGAAGCCCCAACCGATCCTGATCCAGCTGGCACGACCCATCCTAAACCCGAGATGCGATCAAGGCCATCGATGAGAACCGCATCAAACTGGGGTCCGTCGGGAATCTCGGAGCCCGTGCTTGGAGGCCCTGTCGGGCGCCGCGGCCGTTCCCGAGCGACAGCCCCCGCGAGCCTTATCCAAGGCCTGCCCGCCGACCGGCAGCGGCCAGGCCGAGCTCCCCCCGGGATCCGGGCAGGAAGTCGTTTATCTCGATGACCTTCTTCACGGTCTGGGACCCGATGTAGCTGCCCATGGACGCGCGCGAGTCCACGGCGATGATGATGCCGCCCTGGAAGACAAAGCCGAGAGTGGTCGTCCCGTGCTTGAAGTCCATGAGCCCCGGCGCCTCGTCGCCCCGCTTCTTTTACTCAACGCGGCAGGTGCTCTGGGCAGTGCGACGACCTCATCCTCCACCATCACCACCTCTCCATGCCCTTCCTCCTCCTTACTTTGGACGCCCGAAATGGGTACGGAAGAATGGGTACAATGCCCAACAACAAAGGTTGTCCCAAACCAACAGCGGCCGCTGCTGGGCAGGCGGCTTTTTGTCTCAAATGGACACAGGCCGCGGCGGCGCGGACAGCGAGCCCTGTCCAAAATGAACAGGAACTGCTGATGGACACTGCGCAAATGTATCCGTACCCATTTTGTTCGTGCTGATTTTACCTCCCCCACCACCACCACCTCTCCCTCCTCCTCCGCCTCCGCCTCCGCCTCCTCCTCCTCCTTACCAAGACCCCCGACGTCGTGTTTCTTCTCAGCGCGGACCCCCCGGAGGTCTCGACCCGCTCCCCGGGACCAGCTTTCCATCCCGAGTCGTTGTTTGACGGACCTGGGGCCTGGCGAGGGCCTCAAAAGGCCGAGGACAGCAAACCACGCCGACGTCGCAAATCAAGATCGAAACCTCCACCTCTCTCCTGCTTCCTCACTCGAAGTCGCGGCCTGGACCTTCCCGGGAGCGCGTCATGACTTGGATCGCCAGCGCCGAGCCCCATTTCGCCCCCCAGGGGGGTCAAGAACAGGAGACTCAGCAACGGCGTGAACGTAAACTTTGCGAGGCGGGGGTATATCCTCATCCATCGCCCTGAGAAACGACGTCCTGGGACCCTAGCGGGAAGTGGATATGCATATAGGATATGGGCCCAAGGGGCCGAACACAGAAATATGGATTGTATACATATATGTATAAATCGAGCTGTACACATACATATGTACGTATATGTGTATTGTGATCTAAATATAAAAAGAGACACAGACAACAACGAACACACATCATTATATAAATAAGGACAGAAAGCGAGAGAGAGAGAGAGAAAGAGAGCGAGAGAGAGAGAGAGAGAGAGCGAGCGAGAGAAGCGCGCGGGCCAACATTCTCGACGTCGGCTCTGTCCGCGGGGGCGGCGGCGGGGAACGCAAGGTTTGGGAGCCCCTGCGGGGCACAAGATCTGGCCGAGATCGGCGCGTTCCCCCGAGAAGCCGACCGCGACATCTCCGATATGGTGTCACATCGACAGGTATGTTGACCCACGCCCATGTAGGACATACATGTGTATATAGATGTACAGTGAAAACGTATGGTAGGGACGCGTGGCAAGGACGCAAGACCCTTGGAGGCCGAAGTTGAAGTATTCTGGGCGGCAGGCGGCCAAACACCCAGGGAACCTGAGAAACTGGCCTGCGAAAATTGCTGGGGACGGGCCGCAGAGGCTGAGGCAGGCAAGGACCCAAGGGTACCCTTGAAAAAGTCGTTTGTCCTTACTATGCGCGTTGACTGTACATATACATACACGCACATACACATGTGCCTGTTCGTGCGTGTAAGTGCACATGTAAGTGACATGAAACACTAAGTGCAAGTGTGCGTGTATGTGTGTGTGTTTGTGTGCGTGTGTGTGTGTGTGTGTGTGCGTGCGTGCGTGCGTGCGTGCGTGCGTGCGTGCGTGCGTGCGTGCGTGCGTGCGTGCGTGCGCGCGTGCGTGCGCGTGTGTGTGTGTGTGTGTGTGTGTGTGTGTGTGTGTGTGTGTGCGTGTGCGTGTGCGTGTGCGTGTGCGTGTGTGTGTGTGTGTGTGTGTGTGTGCGTGTGCGCGTGTGCGCGTGTTTGTGTGTATCCGCCTGCGCGCCGCTGGGCACGGCGCGTGCGTGCCCTCGGGTCCCTTGCCCGATCCCCCGAGCCCCAGAGCCCCCGCTCCCGAGGCCTTTCGAGGGGGCCTGGAGCCCAGACTGCGCAAACTCACCTTGGGGGGCTTCTCGCGTCCGCTCCGGGGCTCGTCGCGTCTCCCGCGCGTGACTCTCTCTTGGGCCCGAGAGGCCGCAGGACGGGCCAAGGGGGCCCCACGAGGCCCTCCTCCTCCTCCTCCTCCTCCTCCTCCTCCTCCTCCTCCTCCTCCTCTTCCTCCTCCTCCTCCTCCTCCTCCTCCTCCTCCTCCTCCCTCTCGTTCGCCCCCTGCTCTTCCTCCCTTCTCCAGCTCCTCCCTCTCCTCCTCCAGCTCCTCCTCCAGCTCCTCCTCCTCCTCCTCCTCCTCCTCCACCTCCTCCTCCTCCCCAAAGATGGTCCAAGACGGCCCCGAGTCGCCAAACGGTAACTCCAAGACGGCCCACATGGGCTCAAGGTGGCCCAAGGGGCCCTCAAGACGCGCCAAGAGGCCTCCAAGAGGCATCCCAAGAGGCCAAATCATGGATTTTCGTATGGCTTTGAAGGGATTTGGCGTTCTCGCCTTCCCGACTTTCCGCCGCTTCAGGACGGCCCCCAGGGGCCCCCAAGAAGCCTGCCCAAGAGAGGGCCCCAAGACGGCCTCCGAGCGCCCCAAGACGGCCCACGAGGCGCCCCAAGACGGCCCCCAAGAGGGCCCCAGGATGGCCCCCCAAGGGGCCCAGTGGAGGGAACACGAACCGAAAATCCGTGGCCAGCGCCGCCAGGGACCTGGGGACGGGCGCACAGCGCCCTCCCAGAAATCCGCATGGACCTCCGAGCAAAGTGCCCATAGATTGGGCATCCGACGTCCCCCCTCGCGAGAAGGGACGAGGGAAACCGCTGGACTCTTGAAATAGGAAGGAGCCTAGACTACCTCGGAACCTGGGGATCCACAGGCACCCTGTTTCAACGAGCCCTCGCCCACGAGCCGATGCCGACGTCTGCGACGTGACTGGGGAGTCGGCACGCCGCCCTGCCGCGGGATCGTCCTCGCCCCTTCCTCCCGGGCGAAGCGAAGACGCTGGCGCGGAAGGGGGGCGAGGAGGAAGGACGAAGAGGCGAGAGGAGGAGGAGGAGGAGAAGGACGAGGAGAAGGAGGAGGGTGATAGAGGAGGGAGGAGGAGGAGGAGGAGGGTAGAGGAGGAGGATAGAGGAGGATGGATGAGCCTTCCTCTCTGTCCTTGGAAGGGTGGCAGCAGAGCGCCTCGCCGCTCTGCTTCATGTCGACGCAGAAGGTCGACGGGCTGGCCACGGGAGCCTGGGGGGGTAGCCGAGGCAGACACCGAGCCGCCCAGTCGGCCAGGGAGCTCGGCGGCCAGACCCAGCTCTCCGACGATAATGTGCGCTGGCTGGAACGTCACTGGAACCAAACGGCGGATGCCGTGGCGGGCGTTGCCAGGACTGGGTTTGGTTGGACCTGGCTTAGTAACCTAAAGCTGTCTTTAGAACCCCCACAATATAAGTGTACTTAACTATTGTTCGGCGGCCTTATTGACGGACTGGTGTCCCACCAATAGAGGGAAACTATGTTTGTTCCCCCGCGGCGCCCGCCAGCAGGGCTCTCATGTAAAATCTTGGTTCACACACTTGGCACTCAGAAGCTTTATCCTGAAAGCTCCATCCTGAGAATGACTGTTGACGCTCAGGGGAAAATACCCATCCATCGGCTCCACTAACTGGAACTGCCGTCACCCCAAGAAACACCAGCTACGGCAGCCTTGGCCGAGTGACTCTGGTAAACCTTCTGGGCTCGGGTCCTGGCTATATCCGACCGCGGTCGGCACCTTAGAGGAACGGGCCGCTTTCGTCCAGACCTGCCGCCCAGGAGGGGCTGAAAACCTCTGCTTTCCCTAGCCGCGCCCAAGCGAACAGCGCCGACGTCGAGAAGTGATGCCCATGCGCATAGGACTACCTCACACCCAACGCTGGCTCCCGACTCCGGCCTCCGGGGCCCGTTGCCGGCCCCCCTGCTCGCAGTCGCTCGGACGCCCCTTCCCTGTGCATGCGTCGAGCTCGGGCGTGCAGAATTTTTCCGCGAGGGGATCCCAGAGGCTCCTCGATGTGCCTCGCCGACGCGAAGATGCACACGCGCGAAGGAAACCCTGTGGCACGGAGTAAGGAACCGAACTTTCTACACCGACGCTCTTCCAGGTCCCGCACCGAGATTCGCACAAGAAAACGGATGATGGTGTATACGGCATCCCGGTGTCTACATGTTTTGTTTTCTCCACGGGAAAACGGGGACAAAAAGTATACACCACACCACCCCAGCGTCGTCCTCGACCCTCAAGAAGTCCTGGAATTCGAAAACCGCCCGCCACTGGTAATGTACATGTTCCAGTTTCCGACGGAGGGTGCCGGGGGAGGGGCGTGCAAACCGGAGCAACTCAGCCCAGAGCTGCTGGCATCCGCCTCACTCCGGCGGCCCGGCCAGCGCCGCGAGCCGCCGACGCCGCGCGGCGCGCCCGTGCGCCTCGGCCTCGCCGGCCCGCTCCGCAGGGACGAGGAGCGCGGCGGCGCGGGGCGGGACAAGACGCACACGTCCGAGCGATGCCAAGGCATAGATGATGGACTCACTCCCGGCGCTGTTCCCGGCTTCGGCCTCCAGGGCCCGTTGCCATCCCCCCTTCGGGGATGGACAGAACCCCCTTTAGCAAAACGTGGCTCAGTGAATAAGACCTCGGGCAAAAAACCTGGCGGGCACAAGCCTGGAAAATGACGGCCGCGGCGCCCCCTCGAGAACCGAAAAAACGGAAAACTCACTACTCGACGTGTCAGGGTGGGGGTTCTGTCCACCCCCGTCGGGGGCGGCCAAGAGGGGAACGCCAAAGAGGGGCCCGAGGCATGTGCGCGGCCAAGGAGGGGGCCAGGGAACTTAATGAAACAAGAGGAGGCGCCGTGACATCTGGGGAGAAATCGTGGCCCCCGCCATGACATCCAGCCCCCCCCCCTGATCATCGCCCCCCTCTTGGCCGCCCCCGGCCCCGACCCCTGGGGCCGTCAACAGAAAAATGGCTCCGGGACGGACCAAAACCTACTGGCCCTGGGGTCGGGGGGTCTGAGGCCGCGGATGGAGCGACGCGTGGCGGAGGCCTCTTCCAGGGGCCCCCGGGCTGTGGGAGGCTGGAGCGCCCCTGCTCCGAGCTCCGAGCTCCCCGAGCTTCCTTGGCGCCCTGGCCGACCGAGCGGCGTGTCTGTGTGTGCGTGCGTGTCTGTGCGTGTGTGTGCGTGTGTGTGCGTGTGTGTGTGTGCGCGTGTGCGCGCCCGCCCGCGCCCTGTCTCCCCAATTAGGGCTTCGCGCGCCCCGCCTAGCTCTCAACCGGAAGGGGCCCGCTCCCGACCCGCCGACCAAAAAGTGTGTGCGCGTGTGTGCGTGTGTGTGTGTTGTGACGCACAGGGGCATACCAATACTATATGTCCTCCTGGGAGGCGCGCGTCTGATCCGAACATCTAGTATACCCATATGGTAGTACTTCGTTTCCCGACCGGTGCAGCCAGAAAGGCCACACCACGACGCATGTACTATGAGATTTCTCGGTGCGCGCGTCGCTGCAGGGGGGGAGGGGGGCGACGCACACATAGTAGTAGTAGTAGTAGTAGTAGTAGTAGTAGTAGTAGTAGTAGTAGTAGTAGTAGTAGTAGTAGTAGTAGTAGTAGTAGTAGTAGTAGTAGTAGTAGTAGTAGTAGTAGTAGTAGTAGTAGTAGTAGTAGTAGTAGTAGTAGTAGTAGTAGTAGTCGTAGTAGTAGTAGTAGTAGTAGTAGTAGTAGTAGTAGTAGTAGTAGTAGTAGTAGTAGTAGTAGTAGTAGTAGTAGTAGTAGTAGTAGTAGTAGTAGTAGTAGTAGTAGTAGTAGTAGTAGAGTAGTGGTAGTAGTAGTAGTGGTAGTAGTGGTAGTAGTGGTAGTAGTGGTAGTGTTAGTAGTAGTAGTAGTAGTAGTAGTAGTAGTAGTAGTACTAGTAGTAGTAGTAGTAGTAGTAGTAGTAGTAGTCGTCGTCGTCGGCGGCGTCGTCGTCGTCGTATTAGGAATAGTCGGAGTGAAAGTGGAAGTAGAAGTAGTAGGAGTAGTAGTAGTGGTTATACTGCGAGTGGTAGTGGAAGTTGTACTTATCGTAGTAATCGTCGTCGTCGTAGTAGTAGTAGTAGAATCAGTAGTAGTAGTAGTAGTAGTAGTAGTAGTCGTCGTCGTCGTCGTCGTCGTCGTCGTCGTCGTCGTCGTCGTCGCAGTAGTAAACGAAGTAATAGTAGTAGTAGTAGTAGTAGTAGTAGTAGTAGTAGTAGTAGTAGTGGTGGTGGTAGTGGTACTAGCAGTAGTGATAGTGGCAGCAGCAGTAGTAATAGTTCTAGTAGTAGTAGTAGTAGTAGTAGTAGTAGTAGTAGTCGTAGTAGTAGTCGTAGTCGTAGTAGTAGTAGTAGTAGTAGTAGTAGTAGTAGAAATAGTAGTAGCAGTAGTAGTAGTAGTAGTAGTCGTAGTAGTAGTAGTACTACTACTACTAGTACTAGTCGTAGTAGTAGTGGTAGTCGCAGCAGTGGTAGTAGTAACAGTAGTCGTAGTTGGAGCCGTAACAGTCGTAATAGTCCATGATCGTACTAGTAGTCGTAGTCGTAGTAGTAGGCGTAGTCGTATTCGTAGTGACAGTAGTGGTGGTAGTAGTAGTAGTAGTAGTACTAGTAGTAGTAGTAGTAGTAGTAGTAGTCGTCGTCGTCGTCGTCGTCGTCGTCCTCGTCGTCGTAGTCGTAGTAGTAGTAGTAGTAGTAGTAGTAGTAGTAGTGGTAGTAGTAGTAAAGTAGTAATAGTAGTAATAGTAGTAGTAGTAAAGTAGTAATAGTAGTAATAGTAGTAGTAGTAGTAGTAGCAGTAGTAGTAGTAGTAGTAGTAGTAGTAGTAGTATAGTAGTAGTAGTAGTAGTAGTAGTAGTAGTAGTGGTAGTAGTAGTGGTAGCAGTAGTAGTCGTAGTAGTAGTAGTAGTAGTAGTAGTAGTAGTAGTAGTACTAGTACTAAGTAGTAGTTAGTAGTAGTAGTAGTAGTAGTCGTAGTGTAGTAGTAGGAGTAGTAGTGGTAGCAGTATAGGCGTAGTAGTAGTAGTTAGTAGTAGTAGTAGTAGTATGCAGTAGTAGTAGTCGTAGTAGTACTAGTAATAGTACTGTACTAGTACTTAGTAGTAGTAGTAGTAGTAAGTAGTAGTAGTTAGTTTAGTGGGTTAGTAGTAGTAGTACGTAGTAGCAGTAGTAGGTCGTGTTAAGAAGTAGTCGTAGTAGAGTAGTAGTAGTAGTCGTAGTCGTAGTCGTGGTAGTAGGAGGAGGAGGAGTAGGATTAGTCAGAGTAGTAGTGGTAGTGGTAGTAGTATTAGTGGTACCCGTAGTAGTAGTGGTATTGGTAGTGGTAGTAGTATGTTGGGGTGACGCCGATGTGTGTGTGTGTGTGTGTGCAAATCCGGGTCATGCGATGTCTCCAATCTCCCCGGAAGTCCCGACCTTCTTCCCCGGGAGCCCGCCTCTTCACCCCGAGCCCCT